GGCTACGCCCGCTCTTTTTTCATTTCTGTTGGCATGGTATATCTTTTTCCATCCTTTCACTTTCAGTCTGTATGGATCTTTGTTGGAAAGATGTGTTTCTTGTAAGCAGCAAATAGATGGGTTTTGTTCCTTAACCCATTCAGCCATTCGGTGTCTTTTAACTGGACTTGTATCTCAAGGATCTAGAACAACTGCAGAAAACCAGACCCAAATCTAGTAGGAGAAGAGAAATAATTAAAATCAGAGAAGAAATCAATAGGATTGAATCCAAAACAACATTACAAAAAATCAGCCAAACGAGGAGCTGGTTTTTTGAAAAAATAAACAAAATTGATGCCCCACTGTCCCAACTAACTAAAAAAAGATGACCCAAATCAATACAATCAGAGATGAAAAAGGAAATGTAACAAGAGACACCGCAGAAATAAAAAGAATCATCAGAAATTACTACAAGGACCTGCATGCCAGCGAACAGGGAAGTCTATCAGAAACACATAGATTCCTGGACACATGCAACCTACCTAAATTGAACCAGGAAGACATACAAAACCTAAAAATCCAATAACTGAGACAGAAATTGGAACAATAATAAAGGCCCTCCCAACAAGAAAAGCCCAGGACCAGATGGATTCACTGCTGAATTCTACCAGACATTTAAAGAAGAACTGACTCCAATTCTACTCAAACTATTCAGAACAATCGAAAAAGAGGGAGTCCTCCCAAATTCTTTCTATGAAACCAGCATCACCTGAATTCCTAAGCCGGAAAAAGATGCAGCATTGAAAGAAAATTACAGACCAATATCCCTGATGAACATAGATGCAAAAATCCTCAATAAAATTCTCGCCAATAGAATGCAACAACACATCAGAAAGATCATCCGCCCAGACCAAGTGGGATTTATCCCTGGTATGCAGGGATGGTTTAATGTGCGCAAAATAATCAATGTGATACACCACATTAACACACTGCAAAAGAAAAACCATATGATTATCTCAATAGATGCCGAGAAAGCATTTGATAAAATACAACACCCTTTCATGATGAAAACTCTAAGCAAACTGGGTATAGAAGGAACATTCATCAATACAATCAAAGCAATTTACGAAAAACCCACAGCCAGCATCCTATTGAATGGGGAAAAGTTGGAAGCACTTCCACTGAGATCCGGTAACAGACAGGGATGCCCACTCTCACCACTGCTATTCAACATAGTTCTGGAAGTTCTAGCCAGAGCTATTGGGTAAGAAAAGAAATTAAAGGGATACAAATTGGGAAGGAAGAAATCAAACTATCCCTCTTTGCAGATGATATGATTCTTTATTTAGGGGATCCAAAGAACTCCACTAAGAGACTATTGGTTCTCATAGAAGAATTTGGCCATGTAGCAGGATATAAAATCAATGCACAAAAACCAACAGCCTTTGTATGCACAGGCAATGCCACAGCTGAGAAAGAACTGCTAAGATCAATCCCGTTCACAATAGCCACAAAAACAATCAAATACCTTGGTATAAACTTAACCAAGGATGTTAAAGATCTCTACGATGAAAATTACAAAACCTTAAAGAAAGAAATAGAAGAGGATACCAAGAAATGGAAAAATCTTCCATGCCCATGGATGGGAAGCATCAATATCATCAAAACGTCCATTCTCCCAAAAGTAATTTATAGATTCAATGCAATACCAATCAAGATACCGAAGACCTTCTTCTCAGATCTGGAAAAAATCGTGCTGAAATTCATATGAAGACTCAGGAGACCTTGAATAGCTAAAGCAATCTTGTACAACAAAAACAAAGTCGGAAGCAACACAATACCAGATTTCAGGACATACTACAGGGCAGTTGTTATCAAAACAGCATGGTACTGGTACAGAAACAGATGGATAGACCAATGGAACAGAATTGAAACACCAGAAATCAACCCAAACATCTACAGCCAACTTATATTTGATCAAGGATCTAAAACCAATTCCTGGAGCAAGGACAGTCTATTCAATAAATGGTGCTGGGAAAACTGGATCTCCACATGCAGAAGCATGAAGCAAGACCCCTACCTTACACCTTACACAAAAATCCACTCAACGTGGATTAAAGACCTAAATCTACGACCTGACACCATCAAGTTATTAGAGAACATTGGAGAAACCCTTCAAGATATTGGCACAGGCAAAGAATTTCTGGAAAAGACCCGGGAGGCACAGGCAGTCAAAGCCAAAATTACCATTTGGGATTGCATCAAATTGAGAAGTATCTGTACTGCAAAAGAAACAGTAAGGAAAGTGAAGAGGCAATGGACGGAATGGGAAAATATTTGCAAACTATTCAACAGATAAAGGGTTGATAACCAGAATCTACAAAGAAATCAAGAAACTCCACAACATCAAAACAAACAACCCACTTAAGAGATGGGCCAAGGACCTCAATAGACATTTTTCAAAAGAGGAAATCCAAATGGCCAACAGACACATGAAAAAATATTCAAGATCACAAGCAGTTTCACCTCACCCCAATTAGAATGGCTCACATTCAGAAATCTACCAACAACAGATGCTGGCGAGGATGTGGGGAAAAGGGACACTAACCCACTGTTGGTGGGAATGCAGACTGTTAAAGCCACTATGGAAGTCAGTCTGGAGATTCAGCAGAAACCTGAACATAACCCTACCATTCAACCCAGCCACCCCACTCCTTGGAATTTACCCAAAGGAAATTAAATTGGCAAACAAAAAAGCGGTCTGCACATTAATGTTTATTGCAGCTCAATTCACAATAGCTAAGACCTGGAATCACCGAAATGCCCATCAATAGTAGACTGGATAAAGACATTATGGGAAATGCACTCTATAGAATACTATACAGCAATCAAAAATAATGAAATCAGGTCATTTGCAACAAAATGGAGGAATCTGGAAAACACCATGCTGACTGAATTAATCCAGTCCGAAAGGGAAAATATCATATGTTTTCCCTGATCAGTGACAACGAACTGAGCACCAAAGGGGAAACTTGTTGAAGTGAAATGGACACAATGAAAAACAGTGACTTGATCAGCCCTTGTCATCACTGTTGCTGTACAATTTAATACTTTATCCCTTTTAGTACATTTTGTTCTAGTACTATTGGGTTGAACTCTGTAATTAACACACAATTATTCTTAGGTGTTTAAATTTTAACTGAAAAGTGATCCCTGTTAAATATAAGAGTGGGAATAAGAGAGGGAGGAGATGTACATTTTGAAACATGCTCATTTGAACTTGCCCCAAATGGTGGAGTTAGAAACCTGCCAGAGGATTCCAATTCAATCCCATCAAGATTGCATGTACCAATGCCATCTCACTAGTCCAAGTGATCAATTTCAGTTCACAACTGATCACACTGATAGGTCCAAGAATCACAGGGATCACAAAAACAAGATTAGTGTCTGCTAATACTAACTGACAGAATCAAAAAGGGAGAGAACAATCCAACATGGGAAGCGGGATACACAGCAGACTCATAAAATGGCAGATGTCCTAAATGGCACTCTGGCCTCAGAATCAGCCCTTAAGGCAGTCAGAAATGGCTGAAGACCCCATGAGAGTATTTTAGGCATGGAAAGCCAAGACACTCTGGGGTAAGAAAAAAAAAGAAGACCTAAGTGGAAGATCTCTGCGAGTGAGATCCCAGTGGAAGGAACGGGGCCATCAAAGAAGGAGGTACCTTTCTCTGAAGGGAGGAGAGAACTTCCACTTTGACTATGACCCTGTGGGAATAAGATCGAAGTTGGCGAACTCAAAAGGCTTCCATAGCCTCAGTAACTCATGACTAGAGCCTAGGCAGATTATTGATGCCATAAACAAGAGTGCCAAATTGTTAAGTCAAGAACAGGAGTCACTGTGTCCTTACTCCTCATGTGGGATCTGTCCTTAAGGTGTTGTCCTACGTGAAGTAATGCTATAACTAGTACTGAAACAGTATTTTACACTTTGTGTTTCTGTGCAGGTGCAAACTGATGAAATATTTACTCAATATATACTAAATTGATCTTCTGTATATAAAGATAATTGAAAATGAATCTTGATGTGAATGGAATGGGAGAGGGAGCTGGAGATGGGAGAGGTGCGAGTGGGAGGGAAGTTATGGGGGGAAGCCATTGTAATCCATAAACTGTACTTTGGAAATTTATATTTACTAAATAAAAGTTTAAAAAAATAGAAAGAAAGAAAAGAATATATTTGCAACTTAAAAAAAAAACAGCAAAAAAACCACCAATCAGGTTATGAAATTGCCAAAGGAACGCAACAGACAGTTCCCCATAGATACACAGATGGCCAACAAATATAGGAAAAAATGCTCAACATCACAAGCTATCAGGGAAATGCAAGTCCAAACCACAATGGGATATCAGCTCACACGTATATACTGGCTAAAACCGAAAGGACAGAGAGTCACAATGAGGAGGAGGATGTGGGAAAAGTGGAACACTTACACACTGGTGGTAAAAATTTAAATTAGTGCAACTACTGTGGAAAACGATATAAAGATTTCTTAAGAAAATAAAAACAGACTTGTCATATGATGGAACAATTCCTCTACTGATATAACCCAAAATACATGAACGTATTGTATCAGAGATACGTTCACCACAATATTTATTGCAGTATGCTTCACGGCAGGGAAAACAAGAAATTGTCAAGGACTTCAAACATCATCAGTTGAATTGATAAGAATAATTCTCTATCTCTCTGTACACAGACACACACACACACACACACACACAATGAAACAAACTTACAAATTCCTCTTTCCACAGACTTTTTCATTGACCCTCATGATGCTCTCTGCAATATCTTAAATAACTAGAACAAATGTGGGCACATAGCAGACACTCCTTTGAAAGCCAAGAAAAATATATTTACCAAGAGAAACTCCTCTGCCCATATTCTGACTTCCACAAGCCACAAACTTCATTCATAGGCTAAAACATGTTCTCCCTGTTCCCAAGACCCCTATCAACCCAGTTTTCTTTCAGATAACATCTTCTCCATCTCTTGGTAGTCTGCACACTTTGGTCAAATTTCCTGATTAACTCAGCACCCATTCCCCAGTCCCTCCTGAAAGTTCCCTCTGCCCGCCTCCTGATATCCCTTCCCTCACTTTTCGTAAGGTTTCTCCCCAGGGCCTATCCTGGACCTCACACTCTGATACTCCACTAGTTCTTACAAGCAGACCTATTACAGCTCTTCCCTATTACAACTCTCCTCAAAGTTGCCTGCCTTCCTCCCCACAATCCTTCCATTTTCCTTTTTCTATCATAGGATGGTGACATACAGACACAAACTGTTTTCAGCTCCCAAAACCTTGCACGCCCCAGGTTCTTCCATGGCATCTAACCCTCCACTCCCACTGCATGAAGTACTTGCAATCCCATCGTCCTTAGCCTGAAAATCTAAAACCCAAACAACTATTACCACATCTCTCCAAACCAGACTCTTATGTTTTTCCTCTGATTAAACATTTGACAGTTTTCCTCCCAGATTCCCCTCCCACTGCCTGGACAACCATTCTTCCCTTCTTAGCATGTTCTTTGCCCCACAATTCTCGGCAAAGCCCCAGGGAAATCATTCGCCAATATCTTATTCAACTCTGTCTCTGTGGTTCCTCTATTCTAGGAACACTAGACCCCCACATTTCTGTCTCCACATGTATATAGGGCTCCCACCACTTGACCTTCCTTCACAAAGTCTGGAAGTCCACTTTGCTGTCAGCCTGGCAGCCCAACCCCAGGGCACAGGGTTCCCTTCCCTTCCCTTCTCTCCTCCTTGGGCCCAAGGGCTGCCATCAACAGGACACAGCCACATGTACTACTAACCAGTTGCTCCTGTCCAGGGTGAAGGCACAGCTGGGTTTTACAAGAAAGCAGAGCAGTCCCCAGAAATGGAAGATTACCCAGCAGCTGAACTTCCGTGTCAACTCTGTGTCCAATTTCATATCCATGAAAATGTCTACAATAAAGTTACAAAACATTAAGAAATGGAAGACGACACACAAAAATGGAAAAATCTTCCACGTTGACTCATTGGCAAAATCAACATAATGCAAATATCCATTCTACCATAAGCAATTTACAGACACAATGGGATCCCAAGCAAAGGTCAAATAGCATTTTGCCCAGATGGAGAGAAAACAATGCTAAAATTCATATGAAAACACAGAACATCTGAATAGAGAAGGCAACCTTAAACAACATTGACAAAACTTGAAGCATCACAATAACAGATTGCAAGACACAGCACAGGACAGTTACAATCAAAACAGCATGCTATAGGCAAAAAAAAAAAATGACAACAATGGAACAGAAAAGAAACACCTGAAATAACGCACACATCTACAACTAATCTATCTTTCAAGAAGGAGCTAAAGATCAATCCCAGGTTCAAAGGACCGTTTCTTTATAAAAAGGTCCTGAGAAAACTGGACCTCTACATGCAGAAGTATGAAAGAAGACCCATACTTTCCACCTTATACAAAAAGCAACTAAAACACGTCAAGGAACAAAATCTAAACCTCAATATCATCATATTATTAGAGAACATTGGGGAATACTGGAAAACATTGGCTTAAAGAAAGATTTCTGGGAAAAAATGCCAGTAGCACAATAAAAGCTGAAACAAACAAATGTGATTCCATCAAGCTGAGAAGCTTCTGCACTACAAAAGGAACACTCAGAAAAGTAAAGAGGCAACCAAAAGGATGGGAGAAACTATTTGCTAACTATGAAACTGATAAAAGATTAATATCCAGGCCAGCGCTGCCGCTCAATAGGCTAATCCTCCACCTGCAGCGCTAGCACTCTGGGTTCTAGTCCCGGTCAGGGCGCCAGATTCTGTCCCTCTTGCTCCTCTTCCAGTTCAGCCCTCTGCTGTGGCCAGGAGTGCAATGGAGGATGGCCCAAGTCCTTGAGCCCTGCACCCAAATGGGAGACCAGGAGAAGCACCTGGCTCCTGGCTTTGGAGCAGCGTGGTGTGCTAGCCGCAGCAGCCAATTGGGGGTGAACCAATGGAAAAAGGAAGACCTTTCTCTCTGTTTCCCTCTCTCTCACTGTCTAACTCTGCCTGTCAAAAAATAAAGATTAATATCCAGAATCTAAAAAGAGCAAAGTCAAGAGGCTTTGAATAAGAGAAAATAATCTGCCAACTATAAAACTTATAAAAGATTAATAGCCACAATCTACAAAGAGTTCAAGGAACTCAACAACAACAAAACAAAAATTCCATTTAAAAATAGGCAAAGGACTTGAACAGGCATGTTTCAAGAGAGGAACTTCATATGGCCAACAGACACATGAAAAAAGGCTCAGGATCGCTAGCCATCAGGTTTCACCACACCACAGTCAGAATGGCTCTCATACTAAAATCAACAAATGATAAATGCTGCTGAGGATCTGGCACTATGCTACCCTAATACACTGTTGGTAGAAATGTAACCTGGGGAAGCCATTGCCTAAGACAGTATGGAGATACCTCAGAAAGCTGAAAATAAATCTTCCATATGACTCAGCAATCCTTCTCCTGGTGATTTACCCCTAGGAAATGAAATCAGCAGATTTTAAAGGGTTATCTGTACCTCCAGGTTTACTGCAGCTCAGTTCACAATAGCTGAGATACGGAATAAAACCTGATGTCCATGAACTGATGACAGGAAGTCGAGAGTCTCCAGAAGAACAAGATTGCCTGGCAGCTGAGGTTAAGTGTCCACTCTGCATTAGTTTCACATCCGAGTCCTTCTTAGGGGGGGAGGTGAGGCAGACAGCTGCATCATGGCTTCCTCACACCTGAGCCCCTGCCCAACCCCCGCTGCCTCTGAACCAGTGGATTTGCAGGGAAAACACTGCTGGGAAGCACCGGGATCCCCCATCCTTTGAGGCAGGCCCTGGGCATCTCTCTGTCCAAAAACTTAAACACAACAAGTCCATCCTGCACTCTACAAGCCTACTGAACCGCTACTGCCAATGCCAGCCAACAACGACACTGCCTTGGATATAGCCTACTTCTCCCCTAGGCCTACTGCGCAAGTACCACCCAACTAACACCCATCCCTTCCTCCCAGAAACACAGCGTCAGCAGAACAGGCCGCACTGCCTTGAAGAACCAGGGGCCACAGCCTGAGCCCCAGCCTGACATGCCTTTCCTGTGCTCACCATGATCAGGAGCACTCCAAGGGCATCGTTGCTCCCAATCCAGCCCACCAGAAGCTCAGGGCAGTGTGGAGCTCTCTACACCTCCCGGGCTAACACCCAGCCTCTCCCACATGGCGCACAGCTCTGCCAAACTGCCCATGGTCAGGGCTACTGAACGGCAGATACCTGCCCAGCATCCTTGGCCTGGTCGGTGCCAGGGTTGCTGCCCGGAGTCAGACAAACAAGTGCACAATGTGTTATGCCCCTGACAGGGAGGTAGGGTAGGGACTATCACTGTGTACCTAAATTGCATTTATGAAATGCATGGAATTTGGATCTCTTAACTAAAAAACAGTATCTTACAAGAACACCTGAACTGTCTTCTCTTGGTCGTTTCCTAGCCCCTCCCCTATGTCAAAATTGTAGGTGACACAGTTGCTCATCACTTTGTCCCTGAGAACAGGCTGCCTTGTTTGAAATACTAACTCAGAACATTTCATCCCACAACTTGCAGAATACATATTCTTCTCATCAGTCCCTGGAGCTTTGTCTAGGACACAACATATGATAGGATATAAAGCAAGCCTAGAAAACTCAATAACTGAAATCAGTTCATGCATCTTCTATGATCAAAATGAAAGGAAACAGGAAATCAACAACTTAGGAAACTCCAGAACATATGCAAACACGTGGAGTCCGAGCAACATGCTCCTGAATGAATGGTTGGTCTTAGGAGAAATCAAAATGAAAATCCAGAAATTTCTGGAAATGATTAAAGATAACAGTACAACATAGCAAAACGTATGGGACACAGCAAATGCAATGTTAACAGGAAACTTTATAACAACTTGTGCCTACAACAAGATATTGGAAAGGAATCAAATAAATGAGCTTTTCAATGCATCACAAAATCTAGAAAAACAACGTATCAAACTCCAAATTAGTAGGATGACAGAAATCATGGAAATTTGAGAAGAAATGAACAAAGCTGAAGAAAAACATTATAAAAGATCATTGAGGCCAGCGCCATGTCTCAATAGGCTAATCCTCCACTTGCGGCGCTGCCACACCGGATTCTAGTTCTGGTCGGGGTGCCAGATTCTGTCCCGGTTGCACCTCTTCCTGTCCAGCTCTTTCCTGTGGCCCGGGAGTGCAGTGTAGGATGGCCCAAGTGCTTGGGCCCTACATCCGCGTGGGTGATCTGGAGGAAGCACCTGGCTCCTGGCTTCAGATCGGCGCAGTGCACCAGCCAGAGCGGCCATTTAGAGAATGAAGCAACGAAAAGGAAGACCTTTCTGTCTCTCTCTCTGTCTAAATCTGCCTGTCCAAAAAAAAATAAAAAGATCACTGATATGAAAATCTGGTTAAAAAATATTTTTTAGAAAATTGCTGAAAATCTCCAAAACAACAACAACAACAAAACAGGAATAAGACCCCAATCAGTAAAATCAGAAATGAAAAACAAACTGTAATAATAGAAACCCAATAATAAAAACAACTATCTGGAATTCCTACAATGTACTGTTTGCCAATGAATTGGAAATTCTTGGAAAATCTCCCTCACTCCATAAATCTGCCTTTCAATTAAATAAATATTTAAAAAACATAATTATTTCAATAGATGAAAACAGCTGGAAAATATGCAAAAACCTTTCAGAAAGAAAACCTCAGGGAATCTGACAACAGAAAGAACATTCCTCTACACAATCAAGGCAATTTATGTCAAACCGACTGATAGCATCTTATGAATGGGGACAAGTTGGAAGCATTCCCAACTACGATCTGGAATCAGACAAGGATGCACTCTCATTATTGCTATTCAATATAGATCTGGAAGTTTTAGAGCCATTAGGCAAGAAAAAGAAATCAAATGGATACAAATTGGGAAGGAGGAAGTCAAACTATCCCTCCTTCAAAAGGACATGATTTTATAAATGGGGGAACCAAGAAACTCCACCACGAGACCATTAAAACTCATAACAGAGTTTGGAAAAGTGGCAGGATATAAAATCAACACACAAAAATCAATAGAATTTGTATACACACAATATCAGGGCTGAGAAACCACTTCGAAGATCCATTCCATTCACAATAGCTACTAAAATTTAAATAACTTTGAATAAAGGTATCCAAGGAGCTTGAAGCTTTAAAAAGCAACTCCAATACTTTTACAACTATTTCAAAATAATAAACTGGAAGCAGTAGGATTCAACTCTAACAAACACTTTTTGAGAGGCCGGCATTACTTTAACCACAAAAGATAACAAAACATGAAATACAAAGAAAACTGAAGGCCTATATGCATAATGAAAAAGATGCAAAGATTCTTAACAAAATTCTAGCCTAACAAAACCAAAACCACATGCTGAAGCTCACATAAAACCTTCAATTGGAATTTATATCAGAAATGCCATGATGTTCCACATTTGCAAATTAATACACATGATGAATTTTATCAAAAAAATGGAAGAATAAAACCACATTGTCTGGGCTGGCGCTGTGTTACAGAGGGTTAAATCCAAAACACATAATGCCGGCATCTCATATGGGTGCCATTTAGCATCCAGGCTGCTCCACTTTCAATCCTGCTCCCTCCTAACATGCCTGGGAAAATGTCGGAGGATGTCCCAATTAGTTGGGGCCATGCAGCCACATGGGAGACTTGGAAGAAGGTTCTGGATCCTGATGGCTCAGTTTGGCCATCAAGGTCTTTTGGGGAATGAACTAGCAAACAGAAGACCTCTCTCCCTCCCTCCTTCTCTTTTGCTCTTGCTCTACTTATATCTCTCTGTATAAATCTTGCAAACAAATGAAATAAATCTTTTGAAAACCACATCATCTAATTAGATACAGATATCAGTAGAATAAAAAATGATTAAAAACTACACAAAATATACACAGAAGGAATACATATCAATATCATAATGGCTATGTATGACAAACCAACAGCCAATGTCATGCTGGATGGGGAGAATGTGAAATCATTTTGTCAAACATATAACAACACAAAGATGTCCCTTTTACCACTCTTACTGAATGCAGTCTCCATATGGGAGACCTGGAAGAAACTCCTGACTCCTAGCTTTGGATCAGCCCAGCAATGGGCCCTGTGGCCATTTCGGGAGCAAAGCAGCAGATGGAAGACCTCTATCTCTGTGTTTCCCTATCTCTGGATCTCTGCCACTTAAGAATATATATTTTTTTGAAAAAAGATCACTACGCAGCTCACGTGGAACTTGCCCACCCTACCTTTAACTGATGAAGAATTAAGAGTGGGAACAAGAGAAGGAGGAAGAAGAAGGCTGGGAGTGCAGGCTTGAGAGATGCTAGCATGGGAAGTAGTATCAGTATGTTTGAATCTGTATATAAGAAATACATGAAATTTACATACCTGATATAAAATTTTAAAAAGTACATAATCTTCTAACCAGACTAACAAAAATGATAAAAACTCCAGTAAATAAAATTACAGAAAAAAAGCAGAGATTATAATCTACATCACTGAAACACAAGGTTTCAGAGAAATTGCTATTCAGTACTATATGCTAATAAACTGGAAAACTAGAAGAAACAGAGGAATCCCTGGATAACAAATACACGTGACCTACTAAGATTAAATCCAGAAGATATAGACAACCTAAAAAGACTCATAAAAATCAATGAAAACTAAAACACCCACCAAAAACACTGCTAGAACTGACTAAATAAATAAGTTAGAGGTTACAAATAAACATACCTTGTAACCCGCAGTCCTGTCCTCCAGCGCAAGCCCAGCCACCCGCTTCTCCGCTTCCCACAGCTGAGCCGCCGCCTGCCCCCACGGCCGCCAGCCTGCGGACATGAGTGTCTACACTGCTCCGAGGAGCCACGACCCCCCCCCCCCCCCGCGACGAGGTCCCAGGCCTCTCATTGTTTCATAAGAAAAACTCACCTTCACTCCCGCACTCTCTGGGCCAGTACAGCTGCCGAAAACGCCGCCATCAGCCGAGAATTCCGGCAGCCGACGACATGCCGCCACCAGCAGATAATACCGTCTTGCTCTCCACCAGGCCGACTGCGCAAGCGCCAGCCATCTAGGACCCGCCTCTTCCTCCCAGTAAGCACAGCAGCACCGGAAGCTGCCAGGCAGCGTCAAAAACGTGGGTGACAGCAGTCTTGGCTCCGGGCTAAGACTGTGTTGATCTCCGATGTGCTCCAGGTAAGAAACGTTTTCTGGTTAAAAAAAAAAAAAAGAAAGAAAAAAGAAAAACCTGTCATTTGCAAAAAGAAAAAAAATGGATGCAACTGTAAAACCTTACACTTTAAAATAACCCTTTCCAAAAAAAGACAAACACTGTATATTCTCCCTGATCTTTGGTAACAGAGTACCTAAAAGGTGAGCTATATTAGTGATATTGATACTTTGACGTACAATGATTTAGACAACTCTTGTCTTGCAGATAGAATGATTTTAAACAAACCATGTCTTGCCTCTTCAGGAACAGATTTTTTTTTAATTCTTTCAAACTGTTGAATTCTTTACATAGTGCAGGCTTTATATTATGAGTATAAAATAATTGAAAATAGATTTTTGTATAAAATAAGAATGGGAATCGTGGATAGAGGATGAAGAGGGATGGGAAATAGGACCGGTGCTGTGGCCAAGCAGGTTAACACCCTGGCCTGGAGCACCAGCATTAAATATGGGCGCCAGTTTGAGACTGGCTTCTGCACTTGCGATCCAGCTCTCTGCTATGGCCTGGGAAAGCAGTGGAGGATGGCCCAGGTCCTTGGGCCCCTGACCCATTGGGAGACGCAGAAGAAGCTCCTGGCTCCTGGCTTCAGATCAGCACAGCTCTGACCATTGTGGCCAATTGAGGAGTGAACCATCGGATGGAAGACCTCTCTATGCCTTTCCTCTCTCTGTGTAACTCTGACTTTCAAATAAATAAATAAATCTTTAAAAAAATGAAGAGGGATGGGAGCATGTTCGGGTCGGTGGGTAGGAGTGAGCGAGGGTAGAGTGGGAATAATTAATGTTTCTAAATTTGTATATATGAAATACATCAAGTTTGAATACTTTAAATCAAGTTTCCAGGTAAAAAAGGGAGGTAAAATTTTGAATGATTCATTATGAGAGAGAGAGCTAGAGATAGCTCTCATCTACTGAGTCACTCCCCAAATGCCCTCAAGATGGGACTAAAGCTGAGAAGTAGGATCTTCATCCACGTCTCCCACATGGTTGACAGGAACTAAGGCCTTGAGCCACCCTCCAGGATACACAATAAGGTAGGCCATAAGTCTCAGCTAATTCAACAAATATCAAAATCATACCATGCATCTTCCACAACTACATGGAATGAAGGGGCGAATGACCACACCAAGAACCTCAAGAACATATACAACCACATGGAGACTGAACATGCTCCTGAATGAACTGTGAGTCAGAAAAAATTAAAAAAAGATGAAAACGAATACAGATGACAGTATAACATATCAAAACTTATCAGATACTGGAAAGTTTAGAGAAATTGGTGCCTATACCAAGAAATTGGAAAAGAATCAAATAAGTGAGCCACCAATGTAGCACCCTTGAAAAAAAATGAAATCAAATGCAAAATTATCAAGAGGAAAGAGATATATAAATTAGAGGAGAAATAAACAAAATTGAAAGCAAAAAAGAATATAAATATCAGTGAAATGAAGAACTTGCTTAAAAAATTTATACACTCTTGGTCCAACTATCCTTAAAAAAAAAAGACCCCAATCAGTAAAATCAGAGATGAAAAATGAAAGGTAACAACAGATACCACAGATGATTAAAAGACTTACCCATCAGGAGCTAATACAAAGGACTGTATGCCAACCAATTAAAAAGTCTGTCTCTCCTACTCCGTCTATAATTCTGCCTCACAAATAAATAAATAAAACTTTCAAATAAACCATAGGCTTATTTCAATAGATGCAGAGAAAGCATTTGACAAAATACAACATCCTTTCATAGTGAAAACCTTAAGGAAACTGAGTGTAGTAAGAACATTGCTCAACATAATCAAGGCAATTTATGACAAACCTATAGACAGCATCTTATGAATGGGGAAATGTTGGAAGCATTCCCTGAAGAGCTGGAATCAGACAAGGATGACAACTTGTGCCCTTGCTATTCAATATAGACCTGGAAGTTTTAGCCAGACCTATTAGGCAAGAAAAAGAAATCCAAGGATACAAACTGGGAAGGAGGGAGTCAAATTACCCCTACTTGCGGGTGACAGGATTCTATATATAGGGGAAATAAGTCTCCACTAAGAGATTACTGGAATTCATAAAAAGAGTCTGGGGGAGTGCCAGGATACAAAATTAACACAAAAATCAATAGTCTATGTATAAAATGCCATGGCTGGGAAAGAACTTCTAAGATCAATCCCATTCACAATTGCTACAAAAAAATTAAACACCATGGGATAAAATTAATCAAGGATGCCAAAGTATCTAATATGAAAATTAGCAAACATTAGTGAAAGAAACAGAAGACACAGAAAATGGAAAAATCTTTAATATTCAAGGACTAAAATAATCAATATAATCAAAATGTCCATAGTACCAAAAGCAATTTACAAATTCATGTGATCCCAATTAAAATGCCAATTACATTCTTTTCAGATCTAGGGGAAAAAGATGTTAAAATTCAAATGGAAACACAAGAGACCCAGAATAGCTAATGGAATCTTATATGTGAACAACAAAGCCAGAAGCATCACAATACCAGAATTCAAGACATACTTCAGGACAGTTACAAACAAAACAGCCTGATACTGGCAAAGAATAGACATGTGGACCAATGGAGCACAATAGAAACTCCAAAAACTCAATCCACACATCTACAAATAATTTATCTTTGACAAAGGATCTAAAATCCAACCATGTGACAAGGTCAGTCTCTTCAAAAAATGGTGCATAAAAGGTGGATCTCCCATGCAGAAGTATGAAAATAAAAACCTACCTCATTCTTACAAAAAAACAAACTCAAAAAAGGATCAAAGACCTAAATGTACAACCTAATACCATCAAATTCTTAGAGAACATTGTGGAAATGATGCAAGACATTGCCAGATGCAGACTTCTTGGAACACAGACGTACAGGCAATAAAAGCAAAAACACACAAATGGGATTACATCAAGCTGAGAAGCTTTTGCACTGTAAATGAAAACTCAGCAAAGTGAAGGGCAACTGACAGAATGAGAGAAAATATATGCAAACTATGACCTGATAAATTGTTAATATCCAGAATGTATAAAGTGCTCAAGAAACTCAACAACAACAAAACAAACAATGCAGTTAAGAATGGGCAACAGGCCGGCGCCGCGGCTCACTAGGCTAATCCTCCGCCTAGCGGCGCCGGCACACCGGGTTCTAGTCCCGGTCGGGGCGCCGGATTCTGTCCCGGTTGCCCCTCTTCCAGGCCAGCTCTCTGCTGTGGCCAGGGAGTGCAGTGGAGGATGGCCCAGGTGCTTGGGCCCTGCACCCCATGGGAGACCAGGAAAAGCACCTGGCTCCTGGCTCCTGCCATCGGATCAGCACGGTGCGCCGGCCGCAGCGTGCCGACCGCGGCGGCCATTGGAGGGTGAACCAACGGCAAAGGAAGACCTTTCTCTCTGTCTCTCTCTCTCACTGTCCACTCTGCCTGTCAAAAAAAAAAAAAAAAAAGAATGGGCAACAGACTTGAACAGACATTCCTCAAGGAAGGAAATGCAAATGACCAACAGACACATGAAAAAATGCTCAGGATCACTAGCCATTAGCGAAATGCAAAATGAAACCACAATGAAGTTTCACCTCACCACAGTTAGAATGGTTTGCATACAGAAATCAACAAACAACAAATGCTGGAAAGGATGTGGCAAAACAGTACACAAGTGGCCAGTGCCGTGGTGCACGAGGTGAATCCTCCTCCTGCGGTGCTGGCATCCCATATGGGCACCGGGTTCTAAACCCAGCTTCCCCTCTTCCAGTCCAGCTCTCTGCTGTGGCCTGGAAAAGCAATGAAGGATGGCCCAAGTGCTTGGGCCTCTGCACCCTTATGGGAGACCAGGAAGAGGCACCTGGCTCCTGGATTTGGATCGGTGCAGCTCTGGCAATTGTGGCCATTTGGGGGGTGAACCATTGGATGAACACTTTTCTCTCTGACTCTCACTCTCACTGTCTGTAACTCTTCCTGTCAATTATTAATATAATTATAATAATATATTAATATTATTAATATAAATAACATAATAATAATAATGCAGTACCCTAATCCACTGGGAATGTCATCTGGTGAAGCCATTGTGGAAGACAGTATGGAGACACCTCAAAAGGCTGAAAATAGATGAATCATATGAACCAGCAATGCCACTCATGGGAATTTACCTAAACAAATTGAAATCAGCAGATGAAAGAGTTATCTGTACCCACGTTTATGGCTGCTCAATTCACAACAGCTAAGATATGGAATCAATCCAGATGTCTATCAAATGATGATTAGATAAAGAAATTATGGAGGCCAGCACAAAGTGGGTTAAGCCTCCTACTTGCTGCACCAGCATCCCATAGGTGTTCCTGTTCGAAGCCTGGATCCTCCCTGATGAAGGCCTAGGAAAACAGTGGAAGATGGCCCAAGTCCTTGGGCCCTTGCACCTGCGTGGGAGACCCAAAAGAAGCTCCTGGCTCCTGGCTTTGCATCAGCCCAGTTCTAGCCATTGCATCCATTTAGAGAGTGAACCAGAAGGAAGACCTCTCATTCTCAGATGGAAGATCTCTCGTTCTCTGTCTCTCCCTCTCTCAACTCTGCCTCTCAGAAAAATGAATCTTGAAAAAAGTAACTATGGTATATATACACTATGGAATACTATTCAGCAGGAAAAAATGCAATGAAGTCTTTTGCAACAAAATGGATATAACTAGAAAACATTATACTTAGTGAAATAAGCTAGTCCCCAAAAGACAAATACCACATGTTGTCCCTGATCTGCGGTGACTAATAGAGTATTTAACAGGTAATAATGTGTAGGAATAAAATGAGTATTTTGAGATATGATGCTTTTTTTTACAAGCCTTGTCTCACTTTGAGAAACAATTTATTTTCTTCATACTATTTGTTGAACTTTTTACTTAGTGAATAGTGACTATTTTGAGTATAAAGTTACCTGAAAATATTTTTCTATTAAAATTAACAGTGGATCAGCTTAGTATACCTTAAGTAAGGATTTCAACAGTTTGCTCCCACACAGAAACATAAAGTGAAAAATAATAGATGATTTTTTTTAAATGATGATGAAATCAGATCAGACCTATTGTCATGTTTAATCCCAGTGAGAGTCAAGTTGGGAATTGATAATTTCTTTTTCTTTTTTTTTTTTTTTACAGAAGATCAGTTTAGTGTACATTAAGTAAAGATTTCAATCGTTTGCACCCCCATAGAAACACAAAGTGAAATATACTGTTTGAGTACTCGTTATAGCATTAAGCCTCAGTGTACAGCACATTAAGGACAGAGATCCTACATGAGGAGTAAGTGCACAGTGACTCCTGTTGTTGACTTTACAAATTGACACTCCTGTTTATGGCATCAGTAATCTCCCTATGCACCAGTCATGAGTTTCCAAGGCTATGGAAGCCCCTTGAGTTCTCCGACTCTTATCTTGTTTAGACACAGTCATAGTCAAAGTGGAGGTTCTCTCCTCCCTTCAGAGAAAGGCACCTCCCTCTTTGAAGACCTGTTCTTTCCACTGGGATCTCACTCACAGAGATCTTTTTGCCAGAGTGTCTTGGCTTTCCATGCCTGAAATACTCTCATGGGCTTTTCAGCCAGATCCGAGTGCCTTTAGGGCTGATCTTCTGTATATTAAGATAATCGAAAATGAATCTTGATGTGAATGGAAGGGGAGAGGGAGTGGGAAAGGGGAGGGTTGTGGGTGGGAGGGACGGTATGGGGGGGGAAGCCATTGTAACCCATGAGTCGTACTTTGGAAATTTATATTCATTAAATAAAAGATAAAAAAAATTAACAGTGGAAACAGGAGAGGGAAGAGGAAGAAGTATGGAAGCATGGGTTAGAGGAAGCGTTGGGTGTGAAGAATCAATACGTTCCTGAATATGTATATGGCAAGTACATGAAATTTGTTTACCTCACATAAAATTTTTAAAAACTAAATAAGCCTCTAACAAGACTGACAAAGAAAAAAAGAGAAAAAAACCTCAAAACCTCAAATAAGTAAGATTAGATGAAAAATCAGACAGTATAATCAACACTACTGAAATACAAGGCTTCAAAAGAAACTGCCATTCAATACTATATGCTAATAAACTGGAAAAAGCAGAAAAATGGAGAAGTTTTTTCAATACAAATAACTTACCAAATTTAATCCAGAAGATACGGATAATCTAGCAGACTCATAAAAAGTAATGGCATTGTAGCAGTAAGCAAAATTCTTCCATCAATAAAAAGCCCATGACTTGATGGCTTTACTATCCAATTCTACAAAACATTTAAAGACAAACTCCAACAATCTTCAGACTATTTGAAAACACTGAACAGGATGGAACACTGTCAAACACTTTTTAGGAGGCCAACATCCCTTTGATGCCAAAAACAAACAAAGACACAAAATGGAAAGAATACTACAGGCCTATATCCTTGAAGAACACAGATAAAAAGATTCTCAACAGAGTACAAAATAAACAATTGAAAACATCAAAAAGCTGATACATAACTATCAATTGGAATTGATCCTAGAAATGCAAGGGTGGTTCCATATTTGCAAAACAATAAATATCATAAATTAATCAACATAATGAAAGAATAGAAACCATACTCTCATTAGATCCAGAGAAAGCATTTGATATGATGCATTGTGTTTCATGGCACAAAAAAAAAAACCTCCACAAATTAGGCATAGAAGGAACATGCCTCAAAAACATAAATGTGATATTTGACAAAGAATCAGCCAATATTATACTGAATGAGGAGAAGATGAACGCATTTTGTCAAAATCTGTAACAACACAAGGACAGTCCACTCTCACCACTCTAACTGAATACAGTACTATACATTTTCACAAGAGCAATTACAGAGGAGAACAAAATAACAGGCACTAAAACTGGAAAAGAACAAGTCAAATAATTAATGTTTGCAGATGACATGATGTTGCTCCTGGAAGAACACAAACATTCCAGCAAAATGCTGCTTCAACTGATAATCCAATTCAGAAAACTTTAGAAGTACAAGTAAACATTTGAAAAAGCTGCTTTTTACATATTAATGATGGCCTCACTGACAAAGAAAGCAACAAAAATCCAATTTACAATAACCACAAAAATTAGACTATTGAGGAATAAATGTAATCAAATAAGTGAAAGATCTCTATAATGAAAATCATCAAACGCTGACCAAAGAAACCATCAAGGACACAAAACTGGAAAGGTATTCCTTTTTTTGTGGATTGGAAGAATTTGTATCATTAAAATGTCTATCTCATGGAAAGAAATCTACAGAATACCAATGACATTCTCTACAGAATTTAAAAAAACAACCCTCAAATTCATACAGAACCACAGAAGATCCAGAACCGCTAAGGTGAACCTGAGGAAATAAAAATCAAGCTGGAGACATCACAATACCTGACTTCAAAGCATACTAAAAAACTGTATTAACATCACATCACACTGATACTTAAAAAAAAAAAAAACTGAGACATAGACCGATGGAGTGAAACAGAGAATCCCAAAGTTAATGTAAATACATATAGCCACCTGATTTTTGACAAAAGGGGTCAGACCATTCATTGATGTAAGGATAATCTCTTCAACAAATAGTGCTGGCAAAGCTCGATGTATTCGTGTAGAAGAATGGAATTAGATCCATATCTCTCATCATTTATAAAAATCAACTGAGATGGGGCAGCCGTGCACTTCTCAGAAGACTGTTCTTACAAGTATGGTCAAAAACAGTGAAGCCAGGTGCCAGTGCTGTGGTGTAGTGGGTAGGGCCACCAGCAGCGCAGGCATCCATTGATCGGACCATTGCCTGCCCTGGCTGCTCCACTTCTGATCCAGCTCCCTTTTAGAGGCCTGAGGAATGGCTGTTTGAGGGTGGGTCGATTGTTTCGGCCTCTGTCACCCTTATGGGGAGACAAGGTGGGGTGAACCAACAGTAAAAGGATGACCTTTCTCTCTGCCTCTATCTCTCACTGTCCACTCTGCCTGTCAAAAAAAATAATTATTAAAAAAAAGGACAATTATACTGCTCTTGTGGAATTGTGGTCTTCCTACTTTTCCTTGTTGAATACTATGGTTAGTGGTGAATTAAGATTATGAATAATAAAGTGAATTAAAATTATATCTTGCAAAAAATAATGAAAAGAAGAGAGACAAGGGAGGGAGAGGAAGAGCAAAAGAGGAATGTGGTTGTCTTCCTGGAACAGCACCTATGAAATTCATGAAAAATTATTTCAAACATAATTTAAAAATAATGAAGAACATTACACTAGCATAGTTTTAATGATCTGTGATTACATTAAAATTTATGCTATTGGGTAAAATGGTCATTTTCCGTTCAGCTGTTTATGCCTGTTTGCTTATTTCCCACTAAATTAGGGTTTCTCTTTTTTTTTTTCTTTTTTACTTCTTTTTTTTTTTTTTTGACAGGCAGAATGGACAGTGAGAGAGAGAGAGACAGAAAGGTCTTCCTTTTTTGCCGTTGGTTCACCCTCCAATGGCCGCTGCAGCCGGAGCGCTGCACCCAGGGCACCGCGCTGACCCGATGGCAGGAGCCAGGTACTTATCCTGGTCTCCCATGGGGTGCAGGGCCCAAGGACTTAGGCCATCCTCCACTGCATTCCCGGGCCACAGCAGAGAGCTGGCCTGGAAGAGGGGCAACTGGGACAGAATCTGGCGCCCTGACCAGGACTAGAACCCGGTGTGCCGGCGCCGCAAGGCGGAGGATTAGCCTATTGAGCTGTGGCGCCAGCCTTTTACTTTTTTTTTTTTTTAAAGATTTACGTTATTTTCTTGGAAGGCACAGTTACTTACAGAGAGAAGGAGAGAGAGAGGAAAAGAGATTTTCCATCTACTCACTTCACTCCACAAATGGCCACAACAGCCAGGGTTCATCCACAATGAAACCAGGAGCCAAGAGCTTATTCTAGGTCACCCACAAGGGTGCAGAGGCCCAAGCACTTGGGCTATCCTCTGCTACTATCCTAGAGGCATTAGCAGGGAGCTGTATCAGAGGTAGAACAGCCAGGATTTGAACCAGAGCTCATATGTGATACCACAGTGCCAGACCCATGTTCTTAAACTTCTTACTTGATGAAGCATTTACCAAAGTCATGTCATCAATGTTTTTCATAAGGCTTATGTATTCATTTGCCAGGCAGAGTGACAGAGACACAAAGAGAGATCTTCTACCTGCTGACTTACTCCTCAAATGCCCCCAACAGCCAGGATTGGGCCAGGAAGAAGCCAGGAGCCAGGAATTACATCTCAGTCTCCAATGTAGGTGGCAGGAACTACGCACTTGGGCCATTGTTTGTTGCCTCCCAGGGGAATTACCATGAAATTGAATTGGACATGGGGGAGCTAGGACTCACAACAGGCAGCTTATGCAGGATGCTGACAACCCAAATGTCACATTAACCTGCTATGCATCATGCCCACCCATTTCTAAACTTTTCTGATTAGTTACTACATCTTAGTCTATTTGGGTTACTGTAAGTAACACATTACACTCGGAAATTTATAAACAGCAGGAATATATTACTCTCTTTTGGAGGGTGGTAAGTCCAAGATCACAGTGTTAGGGGCTCAGTGTCTAGTGAAGCTTTGCTGGCTAATGTCTGTGTGCCTTCATGTGGCAGAATAGCAAAGGGGGTAAACAAGCTGCTCCATCAAGCCATTCTTAAAAGGGTGCTGTGGCATAGTGGGTAAAGCCGCCTTCAGGCCTGGCATCCTACATTGGCACGGGTTTGAGTACCAGAGGCTCCACTTCTGATCCAGCTCTCTGCAGCAGCATGGGAAACCAGTGCCAGTGGAAGATGGCCCAAGCCCTTGGACCCCTGTTTCCATGTGGGAGACCTGGAATACACTGGTTCCTGGTTTCTGATTGGCTCAGCTCTGGCCATTGTGGCCGACTGGGGAGTGAACCAGAAGATGGAAGTCTTTTCTCTCTGGCCCTTCCTCTCTCTGTCTTTAACTCTGCTTCTCAAATAAGTAAATAAAACTTTTTTTAAAAAAATAAAGGCAGTGATAGCATTCTCAGAAGATCTGCCCTCATGATCCAGTCACCTCCCAGCACCCCTGCTCTTAAATAACAACACATTGAGTATTACGTTTCAACACATGCGTATTGGGGGTCACATCAGTTAGCAACAGCTACCCCAAATCATTTATTATGAACCCCCAATGCATATTTAATTATAAAAACTCATTATAAAGCTTGTAAAATATGCATTA